CAAAGGAAGGGGCTTCTGCAGGCACTCCAGATCCGCCTAGCTCCTCCTCTGCACACTGATGGCTAGGCGCGGCTGGGCTTGGGGGATAGTGTAGGCCCGCCCACCCATCGGGAGCTCAGCAGACCTCCAACTGTAGCCGGGATGGGGAGGAGGATATAGTGGCCTCTAACCTACTGCTCCACTTCACTGCACCCAGAAGCCTGGGGGGTCCGGAACAGTCTGAGATTTGGGCAGAGTGTGCTGGGCACTCACCACAGGCTGAGGTGCCTCAGGAACCTGCAATCCCTCCCTGCTTGCAGAGATATTCAGTCCTCCAGACAAAGGAAGGGACTTCTGCAGGCACTCCAGATCTGCCCAGCTCCTCCTCTGCACACCGATGGCTAGGCGCGGCTGGGCCTGGGGGATAGTGTAGGCCTGCCCACCCGTCGGGAGCTCAGCAGACCTCCAAGTGTAGCCGGGATGGGGAGGCGGATGTAGTGGCCTCTAATCCACTGCTCCACTTCACTGCACCCAGAAGCCTGGGGGGTCCGGAACAGTCTGAGATTTGGGCAGAGTGTGCTGGGCACTCACCACAGGCCAAGGTGCCTCAGGAACCTGCGATCCCTCCCTGCTTGCAGAAATATTCAGTCCTTCAGACCTAAATTACTTTTATAATTATTGACTAATAACATATTTTTGAAACAAAAAATGGTTAAAAACCACCATTTAAATAGTTTAGCCTACTTGTCAAAGAACAGAGGAACACTAAAAAACTTATACTATATCTATTGTGTATAGATTTGTAAAATAATTAAATTGTGATATTAACAGTGACCTTGCAAAAGTATAGGGGAAAATTAATTACAATGTTAAGTGAAAAAGTAAGAGCCAATTATGTATATATTATAATCTCAAACATGCATAAAATTATTTAATGTTCTGCAATAGTTACAAAAGTAACTTATACTAAGAACATCCAGTGAAGGAGTGAGAGTAAGTACACAAAAGCAGTGAACAGTACCCTTCCTGGCCCCTTGTGCTCTCACCAACTGTTTCTTCTCACTCTTCTCATTGATGTAAATACTGCATATATATGTTCAATAATACTGAGTAAGCATCATTTCCTATATCCTGATACACTGAATATATAGGCTAGGTTTATAAAAGTAAGCTTTAAAGTTAAAGGTACTGCCCATTGATTTTCCAAAAGATGATAACCCTCCAAAGCTCTCAGCAACAATATATATGATTGTTCATTTCTTCTTATCACTACTGGATATTTTAGCTTTTACACTTCTCTCAAACTAAATTGAAAAATGCAATTCATTTGTTTTACATTTTGTTTTCCTATTAAGGTTCAGAATCCAGATATCCATCTTTGTTAACTGCCTAATCATATCCCTTATGCATTTTCCTATTAGATTGTTTATTTTCTCTAATAGTCATGGAAATTCCATAACCTTTATCTGTCACTTGGATTGCAAGTATTTTTATTGTTTATATTTTATCTTTTGGCTTCTTTATGTCTTCTCCTACAGTCTAAATTATTTTTATCAATATATATCCATTTCTGTTGTTTCTAGACTTCCTTTCTTCTTTAGATTTTCTTCTCTTTCAAGATTATACTAGGGGTTAGGGATGTAGCCCAGCAGGGAACCACTTGTGTAGTATGTATGAAGCCCTGGGTTTGATCCCCAGTACTGTAAAAAAAAAAATACACCAACAGTCTTTTAAATTTTCTTCTGCTACTTTTTAATATTAATGTCTAAAATCAACTGTGTTTTGTGTTTTATTTTTGTACAAGTATGATGAATTCAATCTGACCTCTGTGTTTCCTCACACAAGTAGGGATGACCAAGAAATAACTCCACAGATTCAGATAAAAATAAAAATTGTCTCCATCCTTCCTTGTGATACCATGAGACTCAGTGATGCTTCCCTCATTTACTTACTTCCATAAATCCCAGGTCCACTACCACATCTGGCATAGCTTTTGAGGTTCCCAGGGTAAAGGACAGCAAGAGGATGAGAAAACTAAAGAAAAGATGAAAGCTGGGTTCAAATGGGAGGAAAGAAACTGTCCTGTCACTGTAGGGGCATTTATTTAACATTTAGCAACTTAATGTCACATGACACCCCATGGGCTAGTAATCGGCATGATTTTGGGGTCAGGAGACATTTGTTTCTGTGGCTCGCTCCAGGAAGTCTTTGTTCTCAGACCCAGCTGGCCAGCCCCACAGATGTGGTCAATTTACAGCTTCAACTGCTCTCTGCATTCCACTTCTTTATCCTTTAGAAGTTCTTTATCAGAGAATATTCTTCATATTACAACTGTCTGCACAAAGTCACTGCCTTAGTTCCCCAGTCCATTATGGTTTTCACTGTATTGTTCATGGTTGGACTCCAGTGAGGTTTTTTTCTAGACAGATAGCAGATTATAATGACATTATTTAACCATACATAACCATGATCTGAACAAAACTGTATATAATGCCTTCGACAGAACAAGTCTTTCCTCAAACTAAGAGTGGATTTACTAAAGTAAAAGGTGTGACCCTCCTAAGGAAATGAATACAAGTGCCAGATATCAACATGGGATTTCAAGATGGGCCAGGGAGCCTGACATTACTTTACCCTGAAGAACAGAACAGAATATAAACAAGGCAATCCTTTGACTAATGTACTCTGTAGGTGTCACCTAGGCTTAGTATCTAAATTCTTGGCTTTGAATTCTTTCACTGTTGGTGTTAGGATAATTAATCTTTATCTAGGTTTTGATTCACCACCTAGAAGTTTTCCACTTTTGGACTTTTTGTAGACAAGCTATCACACAATGGTCATATTAGTTTATATTCCTTTTAATGGGGTATAAGAGTAATTTATCATATACTTGCTAGCATTAGAAATTCTTACTACTTGGTAATCTTTGAAAATTTGATTTTGGAAATGGTATTTCATTATTTAGATTAGGATGTCTTTATTATCAATGAGGCTAAACATGTTTCTAGAGGCTGACTGCCTTTTTGTCTTTCCTTTGTGTCAATTGTCTGCTCATATTTATGGTTCATTTATTTCAAGAGGGTATAACTTATTTAAAAATTATTTACATTATTTTTGTATATCAAACTTTTAAATCTTTCAGTAGAGGTTTAATTGCATATATTTATCTTTCAGAAGTTTTACACTTAATGAAATGGAGGCTTTTTCCATAGACGACATTATAAATTAAAAACTAGTGGTCAACTTAACACCAGCAGAATTAAATCACCATGGTGCTGAGTGTAGATGTTTCACCTGAGGAAAGTTGCCAGCATAAATAGAGACGTGGAGAAGAAGGTAGGCATTGAGGCGTTGAGGCATTGTGGGTTCTCCTCTGTGTTGCTGTTTGAGCCACTGGTTCTCTTGGAGAAGCTCTGGTCCTCACATCAAGCATTGCTTCTGGAGAGGAAGGCATGTGCCACTTAATCTCCTGGATGGGCTGCCTGGCATGTACTCAACTGTGCTTATCATTGGAGGAGCTTGGGACCTCCATGTCACTAAGGATGACTGTGGTACTTTTCAGGGGAGCCCTGGTCTTTGTTTTGAGCATGACTTCTTGGCTCCAGAATAGAACCCTCAACCCATCAGCACAGCTCCTTCGCCCCAATGGCATAGATTTTCTAGCTTCCACTGTTGACCTTTGGGCCTTCCCAGCACAGATCCATATAACAGACTGGTGTGAGTCCTTTTCGTGGCTCTAGATCTCCAGTTGGACTCATGTAAGGCATTGTCATGGGCTCTGGATTTTCATCTGGACTCATGTAGGACATTGCTGTGGGATTCAGGCCTTGGCTGAATATTGTATGTCTTTGGTGTTGTGGACAGGTTTCTTGCATTTTCCATGCAGGAGAATCATAAAAGAGCTAAATTCCATGTCCTGATTTTAATTGTTCTCTGCACAACCCCTGACTACATCAGAGGTCTTCTCATTTGTCCAGCTGAACCTCTGTTAGGTACACACCACATTCAAACTTTGCAAATTGCACTGTGCACTGGTATCGGTGATGTCAGGATGCAAGACCTGGATGCTGTTCTTGAAGAGACCATCTCTGCTTTTTCACCTATGAATACCATTTTCTAATATTCTGAGCCTGATTCCATGTGTGCTTTATTTCTTATTCAGTGCCAGCCAGTTAAGCAGTATCAAGGATAAAAAAGAAGAACTGGTAGTCATTCAATTTACTCTTAAGAAGTCACATACAAAGGCCAATAACAGAAGAAGTAGGGACAAATAAAAGCCATGTCTAAGAAGATGATTAAATCTAGTTCACATTTTGGAGGATACATGAGAATGAAAATGATCTATTCAATTTGTCTTTAAAATATTATAAAAAGGTAGGAAACAAACTCTTTTAGCTTCTCTGTCAGATGAAAAGAGAAAATCCTAGGACTGTTTTTTGTTTGTCTCCACAGTTCTATTGCTTAGCATAATATCTGCTCAAATATCCAAGTTCAAGAAATGCTAACTATCCAATACAAGTGACTATATTTGGCAGAGTCTTCCTTGAATTTTGAACATATAAAACATGTTTCTACATAATTGCTCAGTAATCATATTTTCAAAATACTAACTCTTTTAATTAAAACATTTCTATTATAATATATAATGGTCTTATCATATTTATACATAGCCAACTTTGCATGAAGTAACCAAAGAAACCAATTTCTTAGTTTGCAATTTAACTAAAATAACAATTCCCTTTAAAACAAAAAGTACATCTTTGGTATACAGCTGGTCTAGCCCCATTAATGATTTCCTCTAGTGACTTGAAAAATGTAGTCCATTTGTCACTTCTCAGCAACAGAGTCACTTTGTAAGAATATGGCTACAATCATACCATTTGGGATGGAAGAATTTCTAATGGCTTTCTACCAAGTTAAAGAGGAGAATCAAAAGGGAGATAAAGATATAAAAACTATTTAACCAGAGCCAAAACATGTACATCAATGTCCCCATTTTTAGCAACATATTTTGTGCTTACTTCTAAAGCAGGAAGAGCTGTTTCCTTATAAAGCTTAATAATGTTCTGAACATTTTCCAAATAATCCTCAGGCCTCTGAACTAGATGTTGAAGACTTTCAGCTATCATCTGCATTTCAGCAATATATGCCTAAATGAAAAAGAATAAATTTTTTACTATCATTACAGCAACGATTTTTCAGTTTATAAGCCACATCCATCCTCCTTTGCCTAGATACATTTTAGGATGAGAAAGGGGGAAGGAAAGATTAGAGTCTTATGATTTTATTGAAGAGAGACTAACCACTCTTAAGGCATTTATTAGATGAAACAACATTTTAAATTGACTTGGATGCTAATATCTTTTCTGTGCCCCAATAAGTAGGAAACAGTATGGGAAGAATTCAGATTTTCAAAGACCAAATAGAAAAACTAGAGTTATTCTTAATATCTGAGTGTATAGGTCATCATTCATTTCTTCCTTCATTCAGTAAATATTTACTGACTACTCACTCTATAATTGAAGTACTATTCTGGAAGCTTGAGATACAACAGTAAACAGAACCATTTAATACTCTGGGCTCACAGAACTCATGCTGCATTTGGGAAAGGCAGCATAAACAAGAATACAAATATACAACATATAAGATAGTGGGGATAAGTACTAAGAAATAAAGCCAAGAGTGATGGGAGGTGCTACTTTATATCAGGTAGTCATGAAAGGGCTCTCTGAAGGAGTGACATTTGAGCTCAACCTAGAAGAAAGGGACAGAGCCAAACTAGCAGAGAGTATAGTACACTGGTGCCTCGGTTCATGAAATTAATCCTTTTCACAATTCTAGTAGCAACAATATGTGGAACTAAGCTTTTTGAACTGAGGTATCACTGCACCTGTAAAAGTGCACCTGTAAAACTGCACCTGTAAAAGTGAGTGTTCTGTATCAAATTTAATATCATAATTACATTACCTTCCTATTTTCTTGTTTTGAAATTTTTTTTGTTTTTTAAAATGAAAAGTTTGTGCTAGTATTGTTTGGATAATTAAATCTTGTACTCTGACTACCTAATTTAAAGATAAAACACAATGCATTATTGTTACTCTTCCATTACCTTGTTTCGAAATTTTGTTTTATCTTTTCCTTTAAAATAAAATTTTTGGGCCGGAGACTTAGCTCAGTGGCATAAATGCCCGCCTGGAACGTGCAAGGTCATGAGTTCAATCCCCAGTACCAAAAAATTAAATTAAATTAAAATTTTAAAATATACACTAGACACAATTAATCAATCAATATAGCCAGTCAAGAAGAATGTTTCAGGTTTTACAATTATAATGCCATAATGAACAGTTTTGTAAACAAATCTTCAAATGGTAACATTTCCCTAGAATAGTTCCTAAAATTGGAATTAGTAGATCAAATTTTATACATTTCAAGGTGGCTCAATATGAATTAACTTTTCCCAATAGTATTACCATTCCCTTCCCAGAAGAGGGCATTGCAAACACGCTCGAGTTCCCTGGTTCAGTCATCACATAACTTCATATTAAGCATGTACTATCTGGCAAGAAGTGTAAAAGCATAGAAATATATTTAGTGAGATTGACAATTTATAAACAAGGACATAGTATAACTTCAGAAAGTAACACTAATTCTCACCATAAGTGCTGTCAGCAAAATAAAGCAAGATAAGAGTTTAGATTACCGCTGTCCAGCATGGTAGCTATTAGTCACATTTACTATTTAGTACTGAGTATTTGGCAAGTGCAAACCAAAATGTGCTCAAAGTGGGAAATGCACACTAGATTTTTAAAACCTAGCCTGAAAACAAAAATGTTTCATTCCTAACATTTTTGTACTGATTATGTGTTCAAATAAAATTTGGGTTATATTGGATTAAATAAAATATGTCACTAAGTCACTTTCCCTTGTTTCTTTTTACTTTGGAAAGCATGGCTTCTAGGAAACCTAGAATCACACATGTCTCACATTGTATTTCTATTTCATGGTGCCTCGAGTCACTTGCTGGATAGCCTCTGAGCATGTGATAAGGGAGGGGATAAGGGTGAAAAGGAGCAGTCATGTGAAGAAGGCCTGGAGAACAAGGCTGTAGGCAGAGGGAAGAGGAAACAGCAAACAGCAAGTGCAAGGCTTAAAGCTGTAATGAGCTCACCACCGTGGGAGAAGAGCTACAAAATGGTTAACATGGCCAGACAGTAAGCAGATTAGAAGTCAGGGTTGAGATTACAGGGGCTGGGCCATGACCTCATGAGACCTCTGAAGGTGTCTGGGTTTTAACCAAAAGGGAATAGAAAGTTACTGAGGTCATATAATTTTTGATGGGTCTGGTTTCTGTAAAGAATGAAATGAAGAGAGTAGAAATCAACGTAAAATTGAGAATACCATCACAGCCATTCAGGGAGATTTTTCAGATTGGTGTGTACCTCAGGATGAAAACAATTCATGCAATTACTGGCCACTGACCTGAGTGGGCAGCAGGTTGATTCATTTAACTTCCGGGCTTGGTTGTATCACACAAGAGGCTGAATCTATCCAATTATATAAGGTAATTGGCTTACACTGTATTTGAAACATTTTGAATTCATTGCCAACAACTTTTATTTTAAAACATTGATTTTTGCCTCTCTGCGAAAACTGGAATGTCTGAGAAAAGTGGGCTAGTAATCACTCATGGTAAGAGCTGGCTGGACCAGAGATTAGTCACAGCTGGCTTCTGTGGGGGATGAGGGCCACTTCCTGTCCAATGAAGCTCCCTGTAGTGATGGAAACATCTATATCTGTGCTGTTCAATTAGGAAGTCAAAGGCATATTTGACCAGGCATTTGAAATGTGGCTAGTACTACTTTATTAAGGAAATAAATTTTAAAGTTTATACATTTTATTTGATTTAAATCTTAACAGTCTAGTGGCTACCATACTGGATAGTGAAGCCCTAGTCTGCCCTAGGTCCTCAGTCTCCCCAGTTAAACACCTAGTTAATACCAAGGCCTTCAACTATGTGAGTAGTAACCTCTACAAATCAGCATGCAAGTGTATACTGCTTCATTCATACTAAAATGAAGCACTGTTATTCCTTTTAGGTAGGAAGTTTTCCTTTTTAAAAAAATCTAGAATAGATATTATTTAATGACTTACTTTCACAGATGACATTATAGATTTTTTGTTCATGTTTTTGAAGTGCTAAGATGGAACCCAGAGGCTTATGCACATGCTAGTCAAGTGCTGTACCACTGAGTTATATATCCAGCTCTACTTTATGATTTTATTTGGATTTTATTATGCTAATATTTTTAAATGAAAGAATAATATCAAAGATTTATTTAACTCATTAGTAAGGAAACCAGCAGGATGACAAAGCAAAAGTATAATTACTGGAATAAAATTGGAAAGTTAGACCCCAAGACTGTTTAACATCCTATATGGCCATAAAACTGTGACTTTTGGGGGCTATCTTTTCTTCTGGACAAATAATTTTCAATGTATCCATCTATAAGTTAATATCTGACTTCAAAGTCTAGAGTCTACAGGAATTGTAAATAAAAAGCAGATTTCACTAGAGCAAGAATTGGCAAACTATGTCATATCCCACCTCCATGGGCCAAAACCAGTCTATCATCTGTCAACAAATTTCTTACTACCAAACTTTCCTCTTTAGGTCTTAGGAGAATCGTTCCTCATCCTGTTGCATTATGTTTACTAGTGCTTACTTTAGGATTGCTACAACAACATGTATATGTGAAACTAGGCTACGGATTTCAGGTGCTCTCCTTGTCAGAGCTTGAAATAAGAGTTATGTTAGCTTCATAAGTTAAATCATGTCTGTATTACTTTGCTCTCCAACCACCATTTACCTTTTATACTTTTGACTGCTTAATTAAACTAGAAGGGTGGCTGGCACATGCAGGTAACAACGGTTGCAAACTGATCATCAGAATGTAAAGGGAAAGTTAAATGTCATAGAAAGTTAAATTTGACTTTGAGATTACGATCTAATAATTATTGAAAAATATGAAACTTTTTGTTTATGTCCTCCAGACTCAGTAACAGGAAGGAAATGTAATTTTTCTAGTATCTGCTGTTTTCTATTATTCATACTATAATTCAGTTTTAATAGCAAAATTTAACAGTACAGTGTATGGTAATGACCTATTGAGATATTACCTCTTCTTCTTGCTCTTCTTCCTCTTCTCCTTCCACTTCAATATTCCTTTCTTTTTGGGCATCTTTCTTCTTCTTCCTACGACTCTCAATGACTTCAGGATCCCACTGATCTCTACTGTAAATGTACCCCGTGGTACTGTGCTGTCTCTGCCCAGATACTCGTTGGCATAAATCATAGTCAGGACACTAAGTAAGGGACAATATTATTAAACCACCAAAAATAGTCTCGATATGCTTCCAGTATTATTCTGATTCTTATGCATTCTGATATTATGAAATGCATAAACCAAAAACTTTCTTTAAAGCTTGAGTAAAAAGCATGACCATAAAACATAAGCTTTATGGTATGCCAACATTTTTATTTGTCCATAATTACTAAATATGAAAAATCATCAGCATTAAGATGAAGAAACAGGACTAGAAGAATGGTAGAAAGAGTAGAAAAATGGAATATAAGATCACTTTCCTGCAAACAATGTAGGCAGGATCCTATTGGATTGTTGAAAATGCTAAGAACGGAGGAAAAGGGGGAAATATTCACATACTTGCAACAAATACATTAATGTTACACATTCTCAATATTTACTATCATTTACAGCTTTATGGGAAAAGGAGTTTATAAAATGCCAGTCATGGGCCAGGGATTTAGCTCAGTGGCATAAGTACCTGCTTGGCAAACATGAGGTTGTGAGTTCAATCCCCAGTACCAAAATACTACATTAATAAATAAAATGCCAGTTATGAGTGGGACTTGGGAGATTATTTATTCTAGTTTAAACTTCAAATTTTGTAATTGGGAAAAACAAGTCCCACATGGGAAATAACAGCCAAAACCAAAGTCTATAAGTGATTTTTCTTGTTTCAAGGTGCTTCCATGTGTGCAATCTTACTAAATTCTCTAACATCATAAAATAAGTAAATCCACATAAATATTAAAGCCACCATGCAAACTGTAGAAATGTAGGCAGGTTATGAGATTTGTCTCTGACTACAATGTCACTTGGAGGCCTTCTAACCCATAGTCCACGCTCTGTGAATGCTTTATTAATAATAATGATAATTTGGAACTGTAAATCCTGCTCTGAATATTTTCTAAGACAAAAAAAAAGAAATCTTGTAGAGCTGGACATGGCGATATATGCATGTAATCCTAGCATGCCAGGAGGCCAAGGAAAAAGAATAACAAGTTTAAAACCAGACTGGGCACTTCAGAGACATAGGAAAAATCCTGTCACAAAAATTTTTAAAAGAGTAAGGGTGTAACTCAATATAAAGGTCTGGGGTTCAACCTCCAGTACCACCAAAAAAACCTGGATGATATTCTATGTCAATGATTCTTAAACATTAGGGCATGGCCGTACATGACTCAACTAGACAGCTTGCTAAACAGAGATTTCTGCTTCACCTTGTAATTTACTAAGATTGAGGAAAGACTGAGACACTTCAAGTAACTTATGCTGCCCTCATTTTGAGAACAAAAAGAAGCAAAGAATATGTTTTATCTTATTTGATAAACTTCTTAGGACTCATCAGCTATACAGAGTGAACTAGCTAATGCTTATATGAGTAAGAAACCATTTCTACCTCACTGGGATCACTGTTCACTTAGTTTCAGGCCTAGATGGGTTCTGTCAATTGGTGATGTCAACTAAGGATATAAATGAGAAGACTGAGCATTTAGGGCAGGTTAGGGCTTTACTGTCCAATATGGTAGACATTAGCCCTTGTAGTATTTACATTTAAGTCAACCAAAATTATTAAGAGAGCCTAGGAAGAAAGTACACAACTGTAATATAAGGAGGTGAGTAATATGAGAGTAGAGTAGTATGAATGGACATCACAGAAGTACAGTATTTAACTCTTCTAAGGTGAGCAATGTGGGGGAAGGGCAGGAAAAACTCTGAGGAGAGGATGATGAACTAACTTTTCTGGGGTGTCTAGGATCACAGCTGGTAATATAGCAGAAGTGTTTCCCATGGATGGGGCCTCAGGTGCACAAGCATAGATATATGGGAAAGCATAACTCAGTCTCTTTGATACATAAATTAATATTTTGATAGCTACTTTAAAAGCTTGAACACATTCTTTGAATTTAAGAACTATAAAAAGAAAAGTTTGCTATGCTAGAAAGATATCTTTACCTTAATATTGATTATAATATCAGGATTCAAATTTACATTTCTAATGAATTCTATTTGCTGCAAAGTAGTCATGGCATCCTGTGAAAGTGATGGTATCTCAGTGATAATATAACCTGTCAAGTAAAATATAATTTAAAAATTTATGAAATATCAATACATGAGAACATGGGTTTATTATTTTATAAAATATCATCTAATTTTTAATGAATATTGACACAGGTCATAAATTTTACCTGTAAAAAGTTTAAATTAACAAATTACAGTTATTGTTACATGATGTATAACTATGAATAATGATTTTCTGATTTAAAAGACTCATCTTGGAAGAGATCTTTCAGGACAGCTCTAAGAAATTCCAAGTCAGTTTAATTTTAGACAGATAAGATCGATAGGTAAGGAAATTTCCAAGCTAGCAACTCTTTAATTCATGCTAGAAATGCTCATATGATGAATGGCTAAGGTGTATTGGAAGAGTTGTGTGACATTTTATTTCTTAAATTAGTATTTTACGATATAATATATGCACATAAAACTTTTGTAAGTTATAGAGTAAGAAAACACCCATATAGCCCATGCACCATTTAATAAACAGAAAAGAATATGATTTGAGCTTAACATTTACTGTTTATATTTTCATCTAGATTCCTGAATCTTCTTTCTGAAATTCACTGTGCCTATCATCACTGCATTAACTTTCTTAACATATTTCTTTAATCATGTCACTAACTTTCTTGAGAAACTTTTATTAATAAAGTCTCAGTTCCTTTGATAAGAATTAAAAACATTCCATCTAGTTTTCTCCTATTTTTATAGAATATTTTTGGGGACAGAAACTACTGACAAACTATGTTATATATTTGTATAATTTATAAAAAATTTTGTAAAAAATAAATGAAATGAGCTTGTCACTTCAAGAACAATAGTTGATATGCATTCTGCCAAGTAGATTCAAGTGAAAATTTGAATTTTGGAAAACCTGAATCCATTACCATAAATTTGACAGCTTCCAAATTCTTAAACCTTTTCTTGTTATGATTGGTGATGGTATTAACAAGTGTAATTTTTGATACTGCATAATGAATATTACAATTTGAGGAGCTGCATAATGCAGTGAACAAGTATTTCCTAAATGAGCAACACAGTGTGTCACATGCGTGTGAAAGAGACTCATTCCAAGCACAAGATAGCCAATGGATTTTCTTCTGACAGATTCTGAAAAGTTAGCTGATATGATTTCAAATGGTACAATGCAACTAACCTTAAAAAAACCTTCCACTTACTAAATTTTCATGCATAATTAAGAATATTCACAGTTATTTAAAGTCTATTAAAACACTTCTCTCTCCTCTAACTAAACATATCAAAGTGAACATGGATTTCTTCATGTACTTCACTGAAAACCATGTGGTTGCAGGAAGTGTGAGATTTGGGTTTATATTACCAGTGCATATATAGAGTGGCATCTCTAGGTCCTCTAGGTCCAATTCTGGTGCTTAGCAAACTATCAGAGATGATAAGCCAACTTCTCCAAGCCCAGAGACACATGGAAAAAGGAAGCATAGATAAGGAACTCCCCGGCACCACCATAACTCCTGGAGACGAACACTAGCACCCTTCCCTCCCAGGCTAAAAGCAAATAATGGCAGCTTCCATACCACTTCTCAACAGGAGGGTCAATAGACACTTTGTTTAGGTAACCATCCAGCAAGCATCATTCCAATAAACAGAAAACTGACACACACTCCAGATCACTTCCTAGAGAACATCAACTGCCAATCTTGGCACAGTGGGAAAGAGGAGGCATTTACTATTTCCATAAAACTGAAGGGGAGAGGCTACTGATTTCAGATTGAGGTTAGAGATTTAGAGAAATCAGGTAACTTTGTGTCCAATCCACCTAGGCCAAACTGACATGGGTGGACACATCAGTGACTGATGTCACAAGACCTTCCACAATATGCTGCTACATCTGAGGTGGGAATGCCAAGTCTGGGGCTGTCCATTGTAACTAAGGAAAATGAGTTTTACTAGAATCCAGAAACAACAAGTTTTATGTGATAATGGTAATGTGACAATAGGTTTAGTGTCCTTACCTTTAAGAGATACATACTAAAAATTTTTCAAATAAACTAATATGATATGGATTAGCTTCAAAATGAAATAGATTGGGAGAGGAAAGTTGTTAGAGATATAGATACAAGATCAGATAAAAGCTGTCATTGTTAAAGTTGTGTGAAAGATTCCTTTGTGTGTGTATATCTGTATATGTCTGTGTGTCTATATGTGTGTGTATGTCTGTGTGTGATCTTTACATTAATCCTGATGGATAATTTTGTCTTAACCCCTCCCTAGGAAGAATCTTAAAGTTTATGAACTTTGAGTGGTACAATTAAGTTTCTTTTTTCATAATTTTCCCTTCTTTTGTCAATTTTTATTATTTATACCTGTTTCTGTAGCCTTCAAGTCACTATAAATTTGTAAATAAGTATAAATATTTACTTATGTACCTATATACATCCTTCAGTTTCAATTACTTTACTTTTTGAGGTAATTTATGAACCAAAATTAGAATTCTGTGATTTTTCTTTTTGCCATTTTACTTGGCTAACCTCTTATGATCTGAATCTTTTTCCCAAACTCATCCTCTTCATCACTGGTGAACAGATAGATAAACAGACACATAGTTTAAATATCAACAGTTAAGGGCTGGGGATTTAGCTCAGCGGCATAAGTGCCTGCCCTGCAAGCAGGCAGTCGTGAGTTCGATCCCTGGTACCGAAAAAAAAAAATCAACAGTTGAAAAGACAACCCAGAGTGGAAAAAAATATAGCCAGCTGTCCCTCAGACAAAGGACTTATATCTAGAATATATAAAGAATTGAAAAAAATAAGATGCCCCAAATGTAAAGACCCAATCCAAACAATGAGCATCTGAGATGGATATATACTTCTCAGATGAGGAAATACAAATAAACATATGAAAAAATGTTTATCATTGGTCATTTCAGAGATGCAGGTTAACCCTGATATCTCACCCCAGAAAAAATTTCTATCATCAAGAAATCAACCAATAAAAAATGTTGGAAGCACTGTGGAAATAAAGGAACCCTTCTCGACCTTTGGTGGGAGTGTAGACTGGGGCAAAGACTAAGGAAATCAGTACGGTGAATCCTGAAAAAACTAGGAATGTAGGTCCCATTTAACCCACTTATTCCCCTTCTAGGTATCTTCTCAGAAGAATTAAAAACATCGTACCACCAGTGATATACATGCATCCATGTTTATAGCAGCACAATTTGTAATATTTAAATCTTATAAACAACCCAAATCAACTGAGGGATTGATAAAAAAGATGTGACACTTTTATACAATAGAGCATTACTCAGCTACAAAGAAGGATAAACTTGAGACTTTTATAGGTAAATGGATGCAACTAGAGACCATACTCATAAGTGAAATAAATCAGACTCACATACATAACCATTATACACAATAAATAAGAATGTTCGTTTCTTCCAGCCACCACTGTCTATTTTAGCTTTTACACTTCTGCCAAACTAAGTTGAAAAATGCAATTGGTTTGTTTTACATTTTATTTTCCTAATGAGGTTCAGAATTCTGATATCCGTCTTTGTTAACTGCCTAATTATATCCTTTGCATGTTTACCTATTAGATTGTTTCTATTTACTCAGCCATAAAGATAAACTTGAGACTTTTATAGGTAAATGGATGCAACTTGAGGCCATACTCACAAGTGAAATAAACCTGACTCACATGTATAAACACTGTATTGTCTCCTCAGTATGATAAACTAAAAGAGTATATAAGGTCTACAACGTACAATAGATATTGTGAAATGGGAAGACACTACTCAGAAAGAAAGAGGAACTGGGGTGGAGGAAGGAGGAAAGGAAGGAAGGAAAAGGGAAAAAAGAATACACAATAGTTAAGATAGTTACACTACTAGTTTTTCTTAGTTCATTGAAAAGAAAAATGTGCTAATATCATTTAGACAATTTTTCATGCTTATATTTTGTACTCTACAAGTTGAAGATAACAATATACAATGTATTAACTATTATTATTCTATTATTTTGTTTTGAAATTTTTTCCATAAATAAGTAAATATCAACTGTATGTATTTCTAATATAATGAGTTTATATTTATAACACAAATATATTTATAATACCTACATTATATAATCTAGGTATTACAAGAAATCTATATACAATATATGTACAGGTAACCTATGTATACTTATAGTTCATGGTTTATATCATCTACACATACATATAATCTATGTGAAGACTTCGTCTACAGATATAAAACATAAGATGTCATTTGCCTTTACAAGTTGGTTTTTGCTGCTCTCATTACTGATTTGCTTTGGCAGTCATAGTTTTCATTTTACTGCATTTTGCATTTATCTCTATTCTTAACAGTTCCAATGTCCTCTTACTAATATAAAACAGGTTTCTAAATTTTCCCTCTTCAGTTTAATAAATCTACTTCAGGTGAATGATTTTCTCCCATTCTTTATACTTTTCTTCTTTTACAGATGACTTAGAGTTTGATCTTTTCTTTTTAGTCATTCTGAGCTCCAGTGGTCTTGAAAAATTACAGATTCCCAGGACTACAGGGAAACTTTTGGGTTCAGAGTTAAAGAGAAGAATAGATAAAGAGGGGAAGCACATCAACATTTTGAGCCATAGACAGGCATGATTACAGATTACATCTGTAATCCCAGCACTCGGGAGGCTGAGGCAGGAGGATCACTGTGAGTTTGAGACCAGCCTGGGCTATACAATGAGTTCAAGGCCAGGCTAAACTACATAGAGAGACTCTGTCTCAAAAAAAAACTTTACAGCCATTCCAGAGTGCATTTCTGCATTTCTGGGTAATGGAGACAAAACAAACCCTTGGAGAAAACTTGAGGTGAAGGAAGAAGTAGTCAGTACAAGCTAGCAGCACCGCAAGACTGTCCAGAGCACATTTTTGATGATTTTGTTGGTTAATACAAGGCCAAACAACACTCATTTACATCAGCTTAAATGTTTTTAATGCAGAATCTGGAGAATAAAAAATAAATAAACTAAGCCAAACAACAGAACATGGACACTGAGATTCCTATGCTCAGGCAAAAGGAAGAGCAACCCAAGAAGCTATTTATGTCCCACTGTCCATACATGGGAATGGACATACCAAAATGAGAGACTTCTGAGGAGCTGAGCTTCTCTATCATCAGCTTTGTAACAACTTCATCTGGAATGCTGTGACCACTGATTAGTATTGACTGCAACTGAGGAGAAGCACATTTGTCATACATTACTGTATAATACTCCCATGTTTCAGAGCTGTTTTGATAATCATCAAACTTTGACATTTAGATTTACCATATTTCCTGATTCTGTCCCGGTGGCAATCCGTTCTTCTAAAACTGATAAACCTAAAACATGAATTCACAATATTAGCATAAAATGATATCATGATGAAAAATAAGAAACACATTTGAGAATCTCATAACTAAAGGCAAAGATGAACATTTATACATCACTTCAGAATTTACAAAGAATATTTGACACTATGTCATTTAAGCCTAGTCAAAGTAGGGGCAACAAAGGTATTCCATACAGAACTTAGTCTGCTCCCTGATCAACCATGCACCTTGGATGTATGTGCCTGGTAGCAAAGAATGTGAAAATGATATCAAGGGTGTACTTGACAGTGATCTGCACATTATAGCATATCACACAGAAAAACAGTATACACTAGTGTTATCAGTCCAAATCTTTTTGTAAATATACATGCGTGTTCAGAATCCTTTAATTTAAGCCACGTTGTATAAAAGAAAACAGCACATCAAGAAATGTTAAAAGTGCTGGGTGTGGTGGTGTACACCTGTAATCCTAGCACTTGAGAGGCTGAGGCAGGAGGATCACCATTCGTTAAAATCCAGCCTGGGCTATATAAGCAAGTTCAGGGCTAGCCTGAACTACATAGTGAGAACCTGCCTCAAAAAAAGAAAAAAATGTTTAAATGATACAACACTCATTCAAAAGAGGAAACCTGAGGCTAAGTTTCAAGGCTTTGTTTCCTCTGTTACAGGAAATATGGCCTCGCTTGATGGAGATAATGCCATGACTTAGGGGAGAAGTCAGAGGCTCAACTATGCAGCTCACTGTTAAGAATCTGTGCAATCTTTGGCTGTCTTAGAGTCCCTAAAAGTGAAATTCATTCTAAAAAGAAGGAAAATTTCAGACTTATCTCTATTACATTACCAAATTACTGATCAAAAAGTGGCATAGATCTTAGTTTTACTGACTGATGTAGAATATCTATTAGGCAATAACCATGTCAAGAGTGAGTGAAATAACTTTAAAGACCTGCTGCCAATTTGATAGGCAAATATGAATCAATGTTATTTTAACTAACCTTTTTTGAATAACAGTGAATAAATTCCTTTTTTCCACATTGTCTATTTTTTATTTCTAATTTTTATGAATCTTTTATTCATTATTCTTTATTTTTATATTAGGGCATAAATACTTATTCAAAGAATACACATGTATATATACACTAGTATCTATCAACCAATTGTCTTATATCTTGCAAAAATGCAAAAAAACTCTAAGTAAAAATAAAATTTATCATTGAAGATAATTAAGTTCTAGAAAATGATCCCAAATAAAGCTTTTTTTAAAATCTTATTTAAAGAAAGACCAAACAAAACAGAAACCAGGTAGAAATAACACTTACTTTCAAGGAAAAAATAAACAGTAAAAAATCACTAGTTGATGATTACATATTGTTCTCTTACAAATAGTTGTTCAAGTTACAAAAGTGAAACATACAAAGTGGGGATTCAAATGGCAAAACTGCAAACAGTTCTGTTCAACTATCCAACAAAAACTTAGTAATATGGTTATCAATCCTATACACTTAAACATACATGCAGTTAGCCATACCTTCAATTATGTTAAGATTAAACAGACCAAGGCAGGCTAATATCACTCTGAACTAAGAATAATAGTATTGCTGGATTTCACATCTTAACACTATAGGACCAGCACTGGGTATTGTAGTGTCTCTTTTTCTTCAAAGTAGTTATTCATTTCATCATGTGTTATAAGATCAGTTCTGTAAACTGTTTATAGGTTCTACTCATTCATGAGTCTTGACATGTATTTCTATCCTTTTTATATTAGAGGGAGAAACAAAACAAAGCAAGACAAAACAAATCATATTTCTATAACACATGAAATGAAAAAGACATATAAAACCACTGTACAAGGAATTCTGCAGTGGTTACTGTGTTGTCTCTTGTTATCTTCAATAGAATTGTCTATATCATCAGACATAGTATAATTGAATATAGCAGTATATAAGAATATTAATAAAAACAAAACCTTGTAGATAGTGTAAAACTTCAAAAACCGGTAATAATCAAACCAGAATGGGTATCGTAGTGAATCTTGTCATCTTCAGTGTAGTTGCCTATACTTTCAGACTTGATACTATCAATCATAACAGTTTTGAGTAAAATCTGTTGATACCAAACAGCAATCAGACAAACTAGATTGAACTAAAATCAGTCATGATAAAACAGTATAAATTATACAGGGCTCCATATTATTAAGTTTTTGTTGGATCATTGGACAGAACTGTTTGCAGTCTCACTGTTTGAATGTCCACTTTATATGCTTAATTTTGTTAACTTGATCAACTATTTCTAAGATGACAATATGTAATCTATTAACTAGTGATTTCTTACTTTTTTAAAAAATTCTGTATTACTTGTACGCTTTTACTGTTTTGTTTTTTTCTTTATATAAAAAATTATATAGGGCTCCAGATTAAGTTAATAGGAAATTAAAGATGATTACTATATTATATCCTGTTATTTTTGGGATAGCTGTCTGTGCCCTCAGATCTAGTGCAAGTAGACAAACTGGGACAGAATAAAATCTATCTAAGCAGAGCAATGCAAGTAATGTGGGTTTTAAATCCTGATACACTATTAACAATATCTTCCGCCTTCTTTTTTAAGAATATTCCTCCCCTTTCACTCTCCCAGGGTGCACTGTGCATTTTTGGGTCTCACCAACACCCTCAGTTTTCAGATGGGGGGGGCAACCTAAGTGGTTTACCACTTTACCTAAGTGGTTCGGTACCTTCTCCCTCCTGGACTTGATACCAAGTTGTATTCCTTTACCTACTAAATCCTGTGTTTCCAACCTATTTACATACTGGTTGAGTTGCTATTACTCTCTGGTTCTCAGTCACATAGAGGATTGTTTTCTCATAACTGATTTTTCGGCCCACAAACACTTTTTCAGGTTAATTATATTTCCTATAAAGAGCATCTTGGTGGTGCTCCTGTGGTGGTACCTCCTGATCTACTCTGCCTGTGTTTCTTTTCATTTTTCTTTTTTTTTTTAGTATAGCAAGGCCATCTATATAAGAGATTATAGCCATCCTTCTCAGCCTCACTTCTGTTGTGCTCTTTTTCTGCCATTAGTTCTCTGCTTTTCTTCTTCATTCCACTTTCTGCTCCATTCATTGAGGCCTCTCTGCCTCTGTTCCTGGAACCCTAGTACTTTTTTCTCTCTCTAGAATGTCCTTCAGTATTCTCTGTAGAGTTGTATTGGTGGTCACAAATTCCCCCAGTTCCTCTTTGTCTTGGAAGCATCTTGTTTCTCCATTAATTTCTAGAGACAGTTTTTCTGGGTACATCAATCTGGGCTGGAGGTGATTTTGTTTCAGAGCTTGGAATACTTCACTCAAAGGTCTTCTAGATTTGGTGGTCTGTGTCGAGAAGTCTACCATGATTTTGATGGGTTTTCCTTTATAGGTGATCTGTTTCTTTTCTCTGATGGCTCTTAATATTCTGTTCTTATACTGAATTTCTGGGATCTTGATTATTATATGCCTGAGTGTAACTCTGTTTTGGTTGTAGGTGGCTGGAATTCTGTATGCCTCATACATCTGAATATCATTTCCTTTTCCTACGCTTGGGAAGTTTTCCTTAATTATTTCTGTGAATAGCCTTTGTAGTTCCTTTGTTTGTACCCCTGCTTATTGATTCACATTCTTTATTCTTAAGTTATAGATCCTCTTGCCATCTTCTAGCCTTTGTATTGTTACTGCTCACTTCCTTGTTATTTTTAAGAAATTTTTCCGTTCATGATCACACACTGCAAACCTGTCTTCCAGTTTGGATAATCTATCCTTAGTTTCTTTCAAGCAGTTTTGCCAGCTTTCAATGGAGTTTTTTATTTCCTGGTAATCTCTTTGAACCTGCTTCATGTATTCTATGCTTTCTTTATATTCTTCATTGAACATTTCTCTCCTTTTTTTGTGTTGCTCCATTCTTCTGTCTGTGCCTTCTTGAGAGGCGCTTAACATTTCTTTTATTAATTTACTTATATCTTGCTTTACTTGATTAAATATTACACTTTTGAGCTTGTCTATGAGGTCCTGAAGATATCTCTTTATGTCCACTGATGCTGTGTCTGGTATTGCATGTTTGCTGTCCTCAATATCTTTTGTATTTACCTCTTCTGGATCAATGTTCTCAGGGTTGGGGGTTGGGGACTTTTTCTTGTTGCTTCCTCTTGTCATATTTTTGGTTTCTTCCAAACAGGTGTGTAGAGGAGGTCCCAGTCCCTTTCCTTGTCAGTTATGGTCCTTCTGAAGCACACTGGCTAGGTATTTCTGCCTACCCCAGTGTGTTATTGAGGTGCAAACAGGGGCGGCATATGCTGGCTCCTCCCCTCTGGGTTGTGGGAAGCCCTGTAATTGGCTGCCACCTTTTATCTGCAGGCCACACCACCTTAATTCCCTCGAGGAGTTAAGTTTGGTAATTAAGCAGCACCTTGCATAACTTGTATAGCCTGGCCCATTACTCAGGGATTATGCTTATGAACCTGCATGTGGGAAATCTGAATTGACCTATAACCTTCGAGCTTGCCACTATTGCTAAATTATCTGCTGATGTCTCAGAACCCAAATCCCTCCTCCCCAATACCCTATATATGAAACTCATTCCTTGAATAAAGGAGGCTTGATTGGAATTCCTCATCTTGTCTCCGCTCTTTGTGTCTCTTGTTTCCTCTTCATCCCCACTCCCCCTCTAGGGTCTCCATGGACTTAACCTGCAGGCTGGGTCACTGGGTCAGTCAACCTGCAGGGGCCTTCACTGTGTTCGTGTGTGCCATGTGTAGAGAATGGTTTGGAACAACTTACTGGGTCTCGGCCAGGGGCGTAACCCAGGCCAAGAATTCCCCACCAATCTCATCTGGGAAGGGAACAACTGACTGAAGTCACTGCTATTCCTTGTTCTTGCCAGTCCTGCCTGATTCCAAAATTCGTCCCATTGGTCACCCTTTCCTGTGAAAGGGTTTTATTCCTGGCACTCACCACAGGCCAATACAGATCCCTTGCTGGCTCTGATTTCCATTGAGCTTGCCAACCTCCAATTAAATGCGACTGCACTTCAGTGTGACTGTGGTTCCAGTGAGTTGAAACTGTAGGAATTCGGGTGGACGAGAGCATGAAATCTTAGCTGCCTCAATAATAGTCCTGGAACTGCATGTTTGACTGGTTCTTTTTGCTTTAGTTTCTTCCTGGGTCGAGAGGATCCATCTCTCTCTGTCTGGGCCTTCCCACGGTGTTTTATTTTGGCATCTGAGTTGTCTGTCTCAGTGAGCCTCTGTATTCTGCTGCTTATCTATCCACCATCTTTACTGGTGGATACTGGAACCCCCTAGACTGTAGTCTTTTTATAAAAATATCTTTAGGGATGTAGCTGGAGGTGGGGGCTCAAGGGAGAGTGCTTGAGGCCCTGGGTTCAACCCATAGCATGTGTTAACCCAGTTAAAGCTGGCAAACAGTAGCTGGACAGAGCCAGCCTGGCCACCCCTGACTCGCAAGGTTTTGGGTGCATTGCAGTGGGTCAGTCCATAGGGAGGTGCCAACTCCAACTTGTTGCCACCGGCAGCTCAGGGACCAACCCCCCCCCAAAAGTTTAGAGTTCCTTCCTTCTCATCTTTCACAAGAAGATACACTCAAAATACACATAACACAAATAGCTCTAAATTATGGAACTAGAGAATTGAAGTCTTCAAGAATGGAGTCAAGGATACTTCGTAAGCCCTTCTAAATTTTGTTAACAGAGTTAGAACTTAGAAGAGCAAAACATGATTGGGTTGATGCCTTTATAAAGCTAATATCCACTGATCTGGCAGATGGACAGACACCTGATAAGGAAAATATCACAAAATGTTAATTATGAAATATAGATGGTAGGTGGATGGGTGTTTGTGCATATTTGAAAGCTTTCACAATAAAATAGAGGAAGTAGAGAGATAAAATATACCTTCAACACAAATACATTTCCATGCATGTGCTAATTTGCTGGCTAATGTTGTCTTCCCAACACCCTGAAAAGAAAAAATGTTATTTAAAACCCAACAGAAGTCATTTGCTAGCAGAAAGATATACCAAGTTTTGATAATTCTATTGATGACTACTATTATATTAAATTTTACCATTAAAAGTTAAGAGAAAGCTGGTTATAGTGGCACACATCTATAGTCCCAGCACTCAGGAGGCTGAGGCAGGAAGACTGCCAAGAGGCCAGCCTAGGCTACATAGTGAGTTCAATGCCAGTCTGAATTATAGAGCAAGACACGATCTCAAAAAACAAAACAACATGAAAAAAGAATAGTACATCTGATATATTTATAGCTTCATTTGTCTCTAAAATTTTTTCATATCCCTTATCTCCTGATGTAACTTAAATCAAAATTTTTAAATTAAGAAAATAAACTTTAATTCAGAAAGCTATCCTATTGAAATACTGCATTCTTTTGATTATCAAATTTTGTAATTTTGATTATATCATTGTGATATGATTATATTCAGATCCAGTATTCTATTTCCTTCTTATGGAAAAATGATTTTTTTGGTACCAGGGATGAAAAAAATGAAATTTTAACAGACTTCCATTTAGTTATTTTCAAGAGCAAAGACTTCTTCCCAACTAACATCCTTTTGAAAGTATCAGGAAGATACTTTAAAAATATAAGATGATCTTCTTTGTTTTATTTTTAAACAGAATAAACCAAACAAAATGAAACAGAATAAATCCAATCAAAACAAAACAATGAAAATGATACAGGATTTCAAAACAAGATAATAGGAAATCAACAATGACTACCTTTTTGTTATCTTCAAAATAGCTGTCCATACCACCAGACATAATAAAATCAAACCAAACAAAGCAGAATAAAACTAAACAAAAGGAAACAATGAAAATAATATAGGACTTCAAAACAAGATAATAGGAAATTAACAATGACTACTATAATGCCTCTTATTATCTTAAAAATAACTGTACAGACCATCAGACATAGGCATGTAAAATTAACCAAACAATATAAGAACTAAGTTGCTTCTTTACTTCAGTTGGTATCTTTACAGAAATTTCAGGTGTGCAACTTAATTTATACTGTGTCTATGTCTCCTGAACTTGTTCTGTGTGGGCTGGAGGTCTGAGATTGTATTTTGCTCCTTCATCTTGACGTTTTCCTGTGTTCCTCCAAATCAGCCCACTGCTGCATCCCAGGTGCTTCCTGTACTGTCTGGCAGTCCCTCAGTGTAGTGGATTGGACTAGATACCTACCTGGTTTCCAGGTTTCCTAGAGAGGTGGAGAGGCATAGGGCAGTGGTTCATCAATGCTTCCTTTGGTAGTGGCTGAGCCCCAAGGCGCAGTGTATTTTCCAGGTTGGCACTGGGCTCACTGGACCTCTCCAGGCTGTTGGCATATGGCCTCAGAGAATGGCTTCTTCCTATTGACACCATTTGTTCACAGTATGGTTCAGTTCTGATACTTCTATGCTCATTTTATGTCTAGTTGATCTGTCCCTCTGTGACAATAGGGCATTGAGGTCTCTCAGTACAACTGTGTTATTGCTCATTTGATTTTTCATGTCTACCAACACTGTCTGATATAGTTGGGGTGCTCCTGTATTAAGTGTATGTATGTTTATGATTGTTACAGCATTTGTGTTGTCTCCAGCTTTCTCATTGACTCCAATCAATCTTGTGCTACTCTTTACTTTTTCTTCCTTTTCATGATCACTGGTTGCAATTCTGTCTTCAAGATCTGAAATTCTATCCTTTCCTTTATTCAATCTGTTGCACATACTTTCAATGGAGGTTTTAATCTGGATCTTTGTCTGGATCTGTTTCACACCATTTCTCTCCTATGTTTGGCATTTTTTGTTTCCATCTTTTTCTAAGTTCATCTGTTCTTTTATTTATGTCTTCTCTAATATCTTTGATTGTAGCATCATTTCTTTTTGTACCTGAGAGATCATTTTCTCTATAATCTTTCCCACTTGTTTTTTTCCTTGTTGTTATCATTTCAGAAAGTTCCAGTGTTTGACTTCCAACTTTATCCATCTCACTGAGTATCCTAGGTGGGCTGGGGCTAGGGTTGCATCCTGCTTCTGTATCTCATCATTTTCTATTTTCTCTTTTTTCTTTTGTCTTCTGTGTTGATGCCTGCCAACCTCCCAAGATATACAGCTCTACCACTAGCACTGAGGCTTCTCTCTAGGAGGAAAGGAGATGTCTCTTCCTCAGGGATGTCCTCTAGATATAGCTGGTTCTTTACAGCTAATGGGGAGTAAAGGTCTGGAGGTCTGGTTGACGGCCCTGGCAGAGGAGAGGGTCTGAGCAGACCCGGACCCGGAATGTCCTTGGCAGATTGAGTGAGTCGCCCTGCCAGACACTGACCTACTCTGGTCCCGCCCCCAGAAAACCCCCTCCTCCTTCCAGGGATGCCATTTCGGCTCTGCCCCCATCAGGGTCTCAGCCCTGCCTATATAAGAGGGCAGGAGACATATTAAAAGGGGGATCGGTACCATCAGTCTGGTCTCCAGTGTGATTTATTCCCGCTGTGACTCTGCACCACTTCCTACAGACTCACGTCCACGCAGCGACATACAGCTATCTCAATAACCTTCTTCTTGTGCTTACAGTTCCATGATAATGTTCATGTTACATCCCAGAGATGTGCTAGGTAGGGAGCTGTTCTTGGTCTCTGGATGTGGGCACTAGAACTGGTCTTTTGTCGAGAGAGTTCTCCAGAACCCAACTGTTACCTCCTCACTGCTACTTCAGATGCTTCCATGTTACTGGCCTTGCCAATTAATTCACCCTCCAAAGGTGTGTGCATCTGTGCACCAGACTATTGTCCTGAGTCTTGGAGTTCCTGTTGATTTTACACTCTTCCAGCCAGCCCCGCCATTGGAGAGGTGGGATAATGGAGGAGGTCAAGAGCACAGACTCACTGTCTTCCAGCCAACCCTGCCATCCAGGATGTAATGGAGGGACACAGAGTGTGAACCCACTGTCTTCTAGCCAGCCTGCCCTCCGGAATATAATGTAAAGGGTCACTTGCAAGAAATGTCATTTGCATCTGTTTCTGTCAGTGTTGACTTAAAAGTGTGTTGTTTTTAAAAGCATAACAAAGGTTACTAGAAATACCTGTCTCAGGGTTCCTATAAAATTAAGCTGTAAATGGACTTCAGCTCTTCATCTCTGCAGCTCTGGAAAGGCTCTGGCTAACCAGCTCAGTCCTCAATGGCTGACAACCAACCAGTTCAGAGGCTGAAAATTTCCAACACCTCTTGTCTAAAGATCCTCACAAGAATTACTTGGAGAGATGAACAACCTTACAGTTGCACTTGGGGTTTCTTCATTTTTGTTGGAAGACTGTACTTAGGTCCACTCCCGCAGTGAAGAGAAAGGCTAAAGCACACCACCTCTCAGTGTCTTTTGTACTAATGGGAGAACCTCCCATCGGGTTCCAGCAGCAGCATCTCAGATCTTCACAGATCCAGGGAGTCTCACAACAGTTTCAAAGTAAGCCTTACATGCAAGTAAGTCTGAGACAATTTTAGACTGCATAATACTAACAATCATATGGTTCAGTGCTTTGATAAGTTAACTTCAACATAAAACAAATCTAAATTCCTTTTTAATTACCACATGTAAAAATAAAGTTGAGTTTCTTTTGTTTTGGCTTTTTAAGATAGGGTTTTGCCATGCAGCCCAGGCTGGTCTTGAACTCACTATGTAGCTCAGGTTAGCCTTGGGTTCACAGTAGTCATCCTGCTTCAGCCTCCCAAGTGTTGGGATTACAGGCATGCATCACCACACCTAGCTGAAAGTTATGAATTTAATACCAACATTATATCCAGATTTTAAATGATACAATGAAAATCTGATAGTCAGAAGGTTAACCACACTACGTAGTTTCTATTCTTATTATTTTAAAATTTTTAAAAGTTATAATAAATAGAAAGTTTAAAAAGATAACTTACTGGTTTCCCAAGTACAACAAAGTGAAGAGGTCGGGACAACAAAAAACATTGTTCAGTTTCATCTTCATTAAATATATCCACAAAGGGATGTTCTTCTGTTTTCTCTTGAGAAGTCATAATACAAAACACTACAGGAAGAAAAAGTAAAACTGTTGCAGTGTCTAATTTGGTTGAAAAGGTAAGAGAGGGAGCACTGAAATAGTGAATTTACTTATCCCCAAATAGTGAATTTACTTACCCCCAAAGCTGTACTATACCACAAAAATCCACAGATTTTCTTGGTAATTCCAAGTAAGTTAAATTCATCCATTAATGTGATCACAGACTCAATTTCAAGTGCAAAATAAACTCTAACCATAGGCTATGTAAAAGCTCAAATAAAATACTTCTAAGAGACTAAATTAAGGAAAAAATATACACATGTATGTGAAACACATACATATATCAAGATGTATTATATTAAATAACAAATTAAATGTGTTATATACACATATGTCAGTGTAAATTTTACCAGAAATGGAAAAAGTAACACTGACTAAATTTATTATACTCACATTTTCATATTTTAGGCAGTCTTGGTGATGTAGAAAATATTTCCAAAACTAATGTGATTTCTATACTTTTTCACTTTGCATTACTTATAACTGTCTTATAAGTAAACTGTCTTATAAGTAAACTTATAAGTAAACTGTCTTATATCTTCATTTTAAAATTATTTTTAAAAATCTTTTGCAATTTAGAGCTATCAAGTAGATTTCTAGGCAGAGTCACAAATTAAAACCTATATGAACTAGGCTTATTCTGTTTTTTTTAGAGTGAGTCAGAAACAAATCAGGTTAATAACTTTTTGATTTGTTTGTTTTCTATAAAAATATGCCTTGTTTTCAAGTTTTTATAGATTATATACCTGTACCCATAAAATGTGATATATAAATAGTAAAAATAACAGAATATTTTTCTTGATCACAATAGTTACAATAATTTTAGAAGCATTTTAAAGTTCTTAATTCTTGAAAATTAAAAAGAAATAAAGTACAGTGTATGTTTAAATATTATTACATCAAAGAAAAATTTAAAGTAGAAATTTTAAAATATTAACAAAATGATATTAAACTATTAAATAATATATATATTTAGTATTATACAGTGAAAACACTTTTTTAAATTAATTATTTATTTTAGACCAGCAATACTAAAAAAAATCAAAATTGCACAAAACCTTAGTGATACAAATAAATTTAGTAATAAACATGTATTGACTATAATATTCTGTTAAAAGATAATAAAGAAGATTCAAATACGTAAATGAAGAAGCACAATATATTTCTGGATGGCAAGACTTAGCTTTGTAAAGCTATCAATTATTTCCAAAAACAATGAAATTATTATTGTGATCTGACTCTGAAGGGAGAGTGTGCACGCCTTCATGAAAGGTGACACATGGTATCTCAGATCTACCACATACACACAAAGCTAAAACATAATAAAGGAGATACTTCAAATTGATGGATAAAGGATAGGTTGTTTACTATTACTGGCCATTCATGAAGAACTCTCCATTACTATATTTTTTGTCAAGAACATTATTATATAAAGTCAGACAATATGAAACCTTTGGAACTGATTTTTCTGCAAGTTCTCTAGAGATTGATCCAAGTAAAATATATATCATTGTCTTAGTTACTTTTCTCTCATTGTTGAGACAAAATACCTAATTGCCCAAAAATGACAGAAGCAAACATTTATTTAGCTCACAGTTTTTGAAGGTTTCAGTCCATACTTCGCTGGCTCCAAGGCAGAGTGGCTTGGCTAAGGGGCAGCCATTCATTGTGGCCACAAACAACAAGAGTGAAAAGGTCAAAAAAGGAGAGCAGGATTTCTTTCCTCCTGTATATTGTTTGCCAGCTACCCACCCATGGGTGGGTGCAGCACTCAAACTGCAATTGCAGTGCTGGACAACAAACCAATCACAAACACTAGATTCTGCCGCTTCCATGTCTGCATGAGGCTTGAGGGGGGAGGCATCCATAACACCATTTATTCATTTTTATTATATCACATTCCATGGTATGGAAGTATCAGTTTATTTAACCACTCACCTGTTGAAACTCTCATGTGCTATAATCCCTGGAGAAGACAGAACACCATGAATTGACAAACTGATTACACAGGACCCTTCACCTTGTAAGGGGCAAGTAAACTATATTTTTACTGTGAGTTTCTCTTCTCTAACCACAGTGTCACTAATTTGTATGTTTCACTTACCATCATGAAATCTCATAATTGCCTTTGATCAAAGGACCCCAATACAGTAATGCAGACACAGTAAGAACTATGTGAACATGAGGTCCATTGATTCTACCACATTCTACTTTACCTAGAAGATGCTGATCTGACAATGTCAAATGGATTTTTCTAAGGTAACTAGTTTGGGATTGTGTGGGATTACAGCAGTGTATTTCAAGATGAGTTATACAGTTTAAGCCAAATGTTGAAAGCAGGTGTGACCTCTCTTACCATCCTCACTCTGGGACTGATATGAGCAATCTGTGTCTCCCTTTCACATAACTTTATGCTTTGAAGGAGTGGTTTTGTTGGTAGAAGTTCTATCAGAGCACTTAGTAAAGGCTTCACTAACTGTAAAATTACAATGCCAATTGGTCATGTTTGGCTCCACATACCTGAAAGAAGTTACTGTACTTGTAGGTGGAGATAGCTTTGCTGGGGTATGTATGTCTTGTATTCAGGGAACAATCTGAGCTACATTTTGAAGCATTCATGCCCAGTGAACAGTAATTGCAGCAATCACAACTTGTCGAGGACACAATAACGAGAGGTTTATACTCCTCAAGAATGAAAGCTAGTTAACTGACTGTGAAAACAAGTTGAATCAAGTGTGATCAAGGGTAAGGAAAATCTAGATTGGGTGGTAGAAAAGGAAGATGATATTAACTACTGACCAATGATTAATTGTAGTAGTGGATTCTGTAGCTTATCCCACTAATTTGCTTTCTGTATGTCTCTACTTTTAGAAATTGGGACATTACCTTAAAGAGTCAGTAATGAGATAGTTTGAATTTAAAGTGGGGGTGGGGAAGAGTTCAAAGGGTAGAATGTAGTAGGTACTTCTAGTGCCCTGCCCAAATGCACTACAGGTATTCATTACAGCCAGTCAGACTTTAAAGGTGTCTCTGTCTACTCATTGTGTGACTCTTCTTTTACTGGCTTGTTGCAGCTGCAAGACTCTGAGCTTAGCACAAACTGGAAGGTGCAATGTACTCAAAAAAATTCAATTGAAGTGCTTAATTACAGCATAATACCTGGAAAACAAACATTTGAAAACTAGAATTCTACAGATATTTTATAAGTTGCTCCTAAAATTATCATGCAAATATTTAACTCACATTCATAACTGTTTCCCATTATAAAGTGGAATACTGCTAAGTATCTTTACCAGTTAAAAGATAAAAATGTAAAATGTCACAACTGTGTGGCCATCATTGTAGATTTTAATAAAATATCGAACTATGAAAGAAAATTAACATTTAAGTATATATGTTTTAGAAATTTTATATTTACCAATTTTGAACTTAAAACATAACCTTTAATGGCACACTTTTTTTTTTTTTTTTGGTACAGGGGATCAAACACACGACTTCGTGCTCACCAGGCATGTGCTTATGTCACTGAACTAAATCCCTGGCCCCTCAATGGCACGTTTTTTTAATGGCACATTTTCTTATGTGTATACTAAAAAAAAATTTTTAAGTTTACTTACATGTTCAACCCGGGAACCCCTCAATTGATAGATTTTGAGGTTTGGATTGGTCTCATCTCTTGGGAAACCCAGAAATTCCTCCTAGGTTAGGTGAGCTGCTACACTCTTAAATATTACTTCTTACACTCTTGAACACGGGTAGAAGTATTTAAGTATATGTATGTAAGTATTTAAATTCTGCTACTCTGGTATACAAGTATCAAACTATTCCACCCCGATTCCTTGCATACTCTTGTGCAAGTACATAAGTACAAGTATTTTATTTTTTTTTTTATATTCTTGTATAAGTACGTATTTCCGGAACAAATACATTCGCCCTTCTTGAAAGAACTGGTCTTACAAGGTAGATTTATTCGGGCGTCCCCTTAAGGAGCGAAACTCCTGTAAACCGCAACCGAAAGCCTCTGGACCCTGGACGGCTGCCCGGGAAAAGTCACCTACCTGACCACCACGACCCCCGCCTGAGGTTGCCTCAGACCAAAAGCCCAAGCGGTTGCCAGGGCAACGAGCGGCTGCGCTGAACGTAGGGGCGGGGCCTACGGGTTGGCGTTGGTGTGTAACATTGTATTCATCTTTATGGTGCCTTCCTTTTCACAGGCTTAGGAAGGTATGGTCGGAGAGAGCGCGTCTTTGTTCACGTCCACCCCAACAAACCGAAGAAGCCTGTGTAAGCCAGAACGAATCCACAAATGTTCAGTTTTAGGCATGAAATGTAGCAAACCGCAAGATTTCCACATTTACCCGATCTAAAAAAATCTTTTTGTGGACCTTAGAGCCACTGAACGACATGGATTTTGTTGACTGTCATAAAGGATAAATACACAACAAAAGAGGGGGGGAAATACCGACACTTGGTCTCGAACAAAAGGAAGCGGGAAAAAAAATGCATCAACTTGGGAATGGATCATGCCTTCAATTTAGAGAAACTGCTTCAAAAGAAGCAATCCAAACTGAACCCTCCTGTTTTTCTAAAGGAACGAGAACTGCAACAGAATCGATGACTTCTGCTACTTTGCCTGGTTCCCTCACCAAAGATGGCGCTCTTTGCTTCCTGTGTCAACAGTGCGCAGGTGCACGGAACTTCTGCACACCTTCTCGCTGGTAGTCCTCCAGCTCCGCCCCCTTGCCCTGCAGCGGGGCTTGGCGGGGGCGCCGGGGGAGGCGAAGTCTTATGTCTCTAGGATTTTAGTTCTGGCAGTCTTCTCGCAGTTCCTTTTCTCGGCTGCCGCCTGCTTCTACGTGTCGAAGACCGCTGCCCTGTGGCCCCCTTGGTCCAGACTTGGTTTTATAGGGACTTATAGCTGCGAGCCCAGGGTTGAGAGGGCGCCACCATGGGTCGAGGTAACGCAGTTTTTCGCGCGGGGTTCCCTTAGTCTCTGTGTCCAGGCCGCAGCACCTGTGCATAGATGCCTGCGACCCACCTTAAGGGTTCTTTGTAGCTTCCACAAAGGCTGTTCAAGTTCTAAGGTTTGTTGATTAGAGGAAGATATGAAAAAAAGTTGACCTATGACTTGCAACTTTTTTTTTTCTAGTCCATGATATACCGTCCTCAGTACTGATGTTAATTACGATTTTTTTTTTTTGGTTCTCTTATTCAAATTAAAGAAAAATTTATTTTGTCTGCCAGTTTATTCTTGATAATACCACTTTTCTCTTTTCAACACAGCAGTTAACTAAAACTTTTTAACTTATTACTTTAAATGGCCACGTAAGTAATGAATGGGTAGATTGGCTATTATGATTAGGATACTAGTTCCCTCGTTTAGCAAAGAGCTCTGTAGATCTTCATACTTTCTCAACTTTTTTTTTTTTTTTTTGTCTTTTTCATTTTTACCGGTACCAGGGATCGAACTCAGGACCGCCTGCTTGCAAGGCAGGTGCTTATGCCGCTGAGCTAAATCCCCAGCCCCCATACTTTGGTGGGAAAGCAAAGTTGATATGGGTAGCTTCTCTATATTGGGATACCACAGTGCTGTTACTTCATGCAGTACTGCATATACTGAACACTGATGCAATGCTCTGCTGTGCTGTGTAAAATGTCTTACAAAGCACATTTAGTGAAACTTGGGTTATCTACATTAAAGGAATACAAAACTGTTAGTTCTGAAAGCAGGTGTTTAGGCTCATATTTTCAGGTTCATCTGCTAGCCACTGACCAAATCAAAGGAGACCATATATTTGGGTAAAAAGGAAAAATGATTTACTCAAAGCTGGCTCTGGGGAAATGGAGGGGCCAGTTTGCCTCAAATTGACCATTTCCCCATTTACAAGTAGGCAGTGGTCTTTTACAGGGAGAAACAGGAGGGAGGGCAGCACAGAGAGACAGTGCAGTTCTCCACACTTGTTTATACACTTCCAGCCACTTTCAACTCCTCTGGACTCCTGGAGCTAACTTCCAGTATTCTGTCTCTCCTTTGGGGCTGAGATAGAAGGGGAACTTGGCTATGGGCTCAACTGGAGGAAGTTTGAGTAAGTTGTTTACCTTTGAGAGAAAAACACCTAACTTTTAAAGTTCTATTTTTCACTAACCAGTTGTTAAATAATGGTGCTTGAGGAGACAACTAGAGACCAAGACTGGTAAAAACTAGATTTTATTCTACCTACATGCAGGCAGTCTGACATTGGAGTGGTATCAGCAAGGATCTGAAGGGAAGGCTACATTTTATGTAGGGTTTGAGGTTGGTGGTTGTAATCCTAAAGAACCAAGATTGAATGTTTGAGATCAAAACTACAAGGACTTCAATACAGGTGTGTGGACACTGGAGGGGTGAAGTCCTAAATTTATTTATGGCCCTTAATTCTTTGCTGAGGGCACCCTAAATGCCTGCTGTTTGCAGAGAACAGCATGAAAGTCTCTTTCAGGTCAGCCCTGACACTAATTACAATAATACCAGCCTAATAAAATGTCTGCTTCAAAGTCAAATTTAGAGTCAACCATTGACTCTAAATTAATTTTGCTGACACCTTCCTTGATTAAATCCAATACAAGGATGAAATTATACAAAATATCATATTTGCAAGTATTTTTGGTTCTCTAAAGAGTCAATCAAAAAGTATTTTGACATTAAAATAGAACTTTGTTCTTGTAAAATGTGCTAGTAAATGTCCCTAGTTAGAAACTAAGTTAAAGCACAGACAATTCACTAATAAGCTGAGGACTAGCTGAGCTGATAGTGTTTTTTCCTAAAGCACAAACCATCGTATAAGACTTTTCTGCTCAGAAATCCTCCTCATGCTGAGAAGAGTAGCCACAAACTTATTTTGGCATTCAAGGTTAATTTGCCCTCAACTTGTCAGTCTAGTTTTGTTTTGTTTTGTTTTTTATTTTGAAGGTAGTAAAAATACAACAGAACAAGACAGAACACAGCCAATTGAGACAGTGCAGTGAAATTGGTTCAGAACTTCACAGCAGGATATTAGCATAACAGTAATAAGTACCATAGTATATCTTGTTATAGTCACAATAGTTGTCCAGTCAGTTAGGTAAAGTGAAATCAAATGAAAAACAGCATTATAAACCATTTGAAAGAGAATATTGAATAGAATAAAAATGATTAATTGTAATGAAACAAAAACAGTAAACATTTGTTTTCAAACAGAAGATGGAAGAAAATCCCCCATATTTGTTATATTGCATACAGTTATCCTCCTAAGAGGTGCTCAGACCTCTGTCCTCAGTTGCTAACAGGGGGAGGTTGAGATATTTAATTCCCAGCCTGAGCACTGGTAGGTTCATGGGAGCCGCTGACTGGGTCTCCTCTTGGCCCATGCCTGAGGGAGACACTTACCAAGAGGGCAGGCAAATTGCCTCTTGTGCAGCCACCTAGGTGCCACCATGGCCGGATCTTGGAAGCTACTGATCAGGTCTCCTCCTGGCTCATGCCTGAGGGAGGCACTTATCTGTCTGTCTAGTCTTATATCTAATTTAATATCAATTCAGCCACCATTGAAGATTAATTAATAAACTTTTTGGTGCCTTGTTCTACAGGAAATTGTGTTGCTTTCCATTCCTTTTATCTACAGTGTTTTCCTGCTGTTGTAGTCAGGGGTTGTGAGAAGAACAATTACAATCAGGACACAGAAGTTATTATATTGTGATGGTTACCCAGAGTTAAATACAAAAAGAAAAGTGTAAAAAATCCATCCATGTTTTGCACTTGAATCATCCTAAAACCACTCCTCTCCCCGTCCATGCAAAAACTGTCTTCCAGGCAACTAGTCCCTGGTGCCAAAATGATTGAGGACTGCTAATAGTTATAGTCGAACAAAAAGGAATGAGTATAACATCAGTTTTATACTTGAATGTATAAAAATGATCTGGCTGACATGTAGACAAGGCTTTGTGTTCTAGATAATAAAAGACAACCTGCTACTGAGTGGGCCTTTCAGATATTTTATCAGTGTGCCCATTACCATTCCTGAAAACCTTGAGCCTGAAGGGACAGAAACACCTTGGTAGCATTTTCCAAGATCCCTAAATTCACATGTAGTGCAGCCAAAGCCTATGTGTAGTGGGAGGGGGAATTATCTGCCTAACTGCCATGAGACACTGTCCCCACATCTCTCATTAGATCATCTCCCCCTGACTCAGATGGTGACAGCAAAAACTGCTATGTCCTGCACTACCACACCTCAGCACTCCCAGAAAACACCCAGAGCTCTGGGCCATCCCAACTTGGTTTTAGACTTACTTATGCCCTTCTCTGCAAGGCCTGACAACAGAAAACAAGCAGCATTGCACTCCAAAACTAAAAGCTTCTTCTGTGAATAGTGGAACTGTTGGCAGTGGTGTTGTTTTGTGGACCTTTGGATAGAGAATTGGCAGAACACGAAAGTTTGGGGTTGATTTCAGCACACTGCTCTCTGACTGACTTCTGAGTCTTGAGAAATATGGACAATAGAGCTATTTCCCTCTTCTGAATGAGATTAATGGGCCAAATGTTCCCAAGATGTCTTGAGAAATTTGCTGTCCATTTAAAAACAAATTCTTCCAGAATTATTTCCTCAAAACCCCAGTTTATTTAATTCCTCAGTTCTAAAGCTCAATGCAACTCTGAAATTAATTTTAAAAGAGCAAAACTACGATCCTTCAATTTGCTGTAACCACTGTCAGAAACAGCAGAAGCAACCTTGATGGACTGAACACAGGAAAGTATTCCTTTCTGCTTCTCTACTTCACATAACAGAAATATGCAGTTCATTTCACATGACATTTGCTCAAGGTTATGCTAACAACTCACTGTCTCCCCTAGTGATGGATTTGTTCCGGTCCTTTCTAGCCCAAGGTCCACATGCTTGCTTTTTTTCAAAGCGTATCCATTTTCAGTCATCTGGGCCAGAGAGTTCCTACTTCAGAGCTGAAGGTAAGGATATTTTCCGCTAATTTCTCAGCTTCCTAAGTGTGTTTAGACGTGAACAGAGCAGCTAGGAACAAATCTGAGAAAAGTCTATATTCAGAATTCCTCTAATAGCTCCTGGGAATGTATTGTTTCCCTGACTTCTTTCTCAGTAAGTTCATTATTGGTAGACAGAAAATTTACTGATTTTTGTGTGTTGGTTTTATATTCTGATACTTTGCTAAATTTGCTTATTAGTTATAAAGATTTTTTTTTGTACCAGGGGTCAAACTCACAACCGTGTGCTTCCAAGGCAGGTGCTTATGTGGCTGAGCTAAATCCCCAGCCCCAATCATAAAGATCTTATAATGAAAACCTTAGAGCTATGAATAAAGTACTATATCATCTATAAACAAGAGCAACTTTGCTACTTTTTTTCTATTTATGTCCCTCATTGCCTGATTTTTCTATCTAAAATCTCAAATACTACATTGAGTAAGAATGAAGAGAGTGAAAATCTTTATCTTATTTCTGATTTTAGAAGAAATACTTTCAGTTTTTCCCATTATGTAGAATTTTGGATATGAATTTGTTATATACAGTCTTTATTATGTTGAGCTATGATAATTCACACCTACTTTGTTCAGAGATTTTATCACAAATGGGATTTGAATTTTATTAAAAGCTTTTCACTTTTTAGATGATCACATGCTGTTTATCCTTGATTCTATTTATATGGTTTATTATATTTATAAGTATGTGTGTGTTAAACCAACTTGATCATGGTATAATATCTTTTCAATGTGTT